GGTTGGACTGAGCAAGAGAGTGAGTCTTGCCCAAGGCCAGTCTGTAAATGCCTGTGGATAAATAGGAATCTGGGTCTTATTAAGTCTTGTGTGACACTCTAGCCATGACGCTACATCAGCTTTCATAGGAAATGTATGTAGGAAAGTGTCTCAGTGGATTGGATCTTTCTCTCAAGCTTCACCTGAGAACTGAATTAAGTGGCCAGCACCACCAGCTGTGCTTTTTTGGCACTTTGCTTGGAATTTCCAAAAATGTACACTGCCCTGATGGTGGGTCCGGTAGAAAGATGTATGATTTTGAGGCTCCTACTTCCAGCTGTGCAGGTGTGGGGTTGTTAAGTGCAGTGCAGGGACTGTAGTGACTCTGGAGCCCAGGCTTCCTTCTCATTCCTTCCCCTCCTCCTCTGTGTTTTCCAACGAAGGAGGTGGCTGGTGAGCCCCTGTACATGCTCTTCCGTGCCATTAAGTACCAGGTGGACAAGGGCCCAGTGGATGCTGTGACAGGCAAGGCCAAACGGACACTGAACGATGGGCGGCTGCTGAGAGAAGACGTGGAGTATCGGCCCCTCAACCTGACTGTCCTGGTGCGGGGGGGCGGCCCAGGTGGTGCGGGTGAGACTCAGCGCATCCCAGCCCGTGTCCTTGACACAGACACCATCACCCAAGTGAAGGAGAAAATCTTGGACCAGGTCTACAAAGGCGTCCCTTTCTCCCAGCGCCCCTCGGTGCACTCCCTTGACTTGGGTAAGGAATCTCCTCCATTCTCCATTCTCCACTCCCCGCCCCAATCTGTGGGTCTTCCTTTGGATAAGGAAGGACCAAAACCTGTTGAGGATGTTTAGTTCATTTTGAGAGAGGCCCACATGAAGTTGTCCTGGGCTTGCAGTGGAGATTTGGGGGCAGGGGGTGGAAGTAGGAGACCCTCACCTGCCACTCTTCCTTTCCTCAGAGTGGCGCTCAGGCGTTGCTGGCCACCTGACACTTTCGGATGAGGATCTGACCTCTATCACGCAGAACCAATGGAAGAGACTCAACACTCTTCAACATTACAAGGTATGGGGTTTGCTGGGATGCAGCTGAGTGGTAGAAGTTGGGAGGGAGGGAGTATGGAGTCGGGTAGCCAACGTGGTGCGCTCCAGACTCCAGTTCCCATTAGCACCAGACAGAATGGCAAGTGGTCAGGGTTGATGGGAGTTGTAGTCCAGCAGCATCTGGAGGGCATCACATTGGCTACCCTGACCGTGTCTGCAATGCTGGGCTTCCATGTTTTGCTTCTGGCAGGAGATTCATGGAGCTGGGAATCCGTCTCTCACCTGAACAATTTCTCACCTTCTTGTAGGTGTTTCACTTGTTTACTGTCCTTCCTCTTTTCCCCAGGTTCCAGATGGGGCCACAGTTGGCCTCATTCCCCGCCTTCACAATGATGTCTCCCAAGGCACCAGCCAGAACTTCTTCTCTGGAGAAAGTGAGTCTGCTTGTCTCTCTCTTCCTTGAGCCATTGCTCTCCCATTCAGTAGAGCAACCTCCTTTTTCCCTCCTCTCTGCAACTGGCAGCAACTGCCACATTGCAAAGAGATGTGGTTTTCACTATGGGCACAAATGGTGAGCAGTGCAGCTCAATTGCAGTGTGTGTGTGTCATAGCGTGGGTGGGGGAGTCTCTTGCCTGTTCATGGGGTGGGGGGAAGCACCTTAGCCCTTATTTTTGTAATGTGTGTGAAGAGTTCCTTAATTTTCTAGCCTGAAAAAGTAATGGAAAAGCTCCAGACCAGAAGACTCTAAAATTACATGCCTGTAGATGTTTCTTCCTTCTCCTTTTGTACATAATGGTAATTCAAGTTATCACATGGGAATAAACCTGTTTTATTTCTGTATCTATAGAGGCCTTTTGTTTTGCAAACAAGGGAGTCAAGTTTTTTCTAGTCTTCTTTTAGTCTAGGAAAGAAGAGCACAGATTGACATTTGTTATACATGCTCTGGGAGTGGCAACAAGAGGTGCACAGGGCCAGAGGCAGACAAACTGGAAAGCTTTTAGGGAGGTACTGGAAGTAAGAGAGTGAGGTGCCACATTGGTTGGGGAAAGGCCTGTATGTGTTTGCTGTTTTTGTAGACCTTTAACAGAAACTCTAAACATTTTTTTAGATTTTTCTTTGTCACCTGGAGGATTAGATACTTCTTTGGCTCCCTTTTACAACCCCCCCCCCAAAAAAAACCTTCAAATAATAGCATAGTTTATGTGGGAGCCATTTAGATTCTGCATGACAGAAGAATATTCTGCACTTGCCCATGATAAAAAGTTCCCAAACTTCTGCGCTGCTTCCTTTATTCCTTGGGGGTGCGGGTGTACGGGCCATGTCAGTCCCACTAAGCCTCCCACTGGGCCCATGTCTCCTCCTTCCTTCTTTCAGGCATCATCATTTATCTCACACCTTTGTTTGCTGCTGCTGGTAGCCAGGACTGGGGCCCTTGCAGTTGTCTCAGCTGTCCACAGGACAGGCAGGTGCCCTGAGGGCTGCCTAGTGAGTGGTGGACTGCCCCATTTCCCATTGTAATGAGTCTTATTGCACCCTTTGCAGACACTCCAATGCTAGAGGATGGTGAGGATGGGGGGCTACGCCTCTGGCACCTCGTAAAGCCATCTGAAGAGCCTGAACTCACAAAACAGCAGCAAGAGCGGCGCAGCAGCCTTCGGGAGCGCGCCAAGGCGATTCCTGAGATCTACCTCACCCGCTTGCTTTCCATGAAGGTAAGAGGGAAAGCATTTTTCCCCTCCTCAGCCATTCTCCAATTATACCAGCCCTTTTAGAGCAGTGGGATTCTTCGGAGTCTAATCAGGATTTCCTCAGTGAGTAGATCAATAATGACAGACACGTTTCCCTGCGTGAACGTGACTAGGTGCCCTTGAACAGGGCTTCCCAAACCATGGTCCATGGACTGCCAGTGGTCTCTGAGCTTCATTTGGGTGGTCCGTGCTGTGTCCACATTCAATATTGTATTGATTTTTCATATTGATTCTGTGGAGTTCAAGTTGTAACACAATAAAATACAACTGGAGAAGCAAAAGAAGAAATAAAAATACAGTTGAAAATCATATAACATCTAGCCCAGTGCATTACACTTGCTTACAACAGGCAGGAAAACAATTGTTGCCCGAGACCCTCAGCAATTTTCAAGTGGCCCAGGAATGGGATGAGTGGAGTTCGAGAGCCACTGCCCTAGAATATTGCCTGGGTTCCTTGACATAGTAAATCTGAAAAAGTGGGATTCAATATTGGCTGCCACATCTAGAAATCACAAGGCCCTTGTCTCCCAGCCTGCAGGTAGTGCAGATGAAAAGTTTTGTGTATCTGTCATAGGCAGTGCTTTTTTACTAGAAAAATAGGTGCTGGTATTCACCAAGAAGGATCACACTTTTTAACAACAACAAAAAGAGGCTCCAGTACCATAAAGTTGTTACAGTAAGTGCCACACTTTTTAACAACAAGAACAAAGAGGTGCTGGTACTGTATACTCTTGAATCCCCCCTGGGGGAAAAAGCACTAGTTATAGACATACAGTATTTTGCAGTTCCTGTAGACTAGACTTTCCCTGCAGATACTGTTGGACTCCAAATCCCATCACCTCAACTATTGGCACTGCTGGCTGGAGCCGATGGGAGTTGGAGTCCAACAATATATGGAGGGGATCTGTTTGAGGAAGGCTGCTGTAGACACTGTTCTTGGAAGTACCCCAAGATTAATACTTAATACAATATAGACTAGAACCTTGTTCTGGTCGTGCTTCTTGTTGCTGCTGCTGCTGCTTTGTTTCTTACCTGCGTTTCACCATGAGGTCCCAGGTCCAGTTACCAACAATTTAAATTAAGAGGTTAGAATAGGGTTAAGTGGACAGCTGTATATTGACTACTCTAGGATTTTTTTGTCACATATGCAACACATCAACAGTTGAACAGGTTAAATCTTGTTTGTTTGGGGTGTGATGATTCTTAGCCTAAGGCAGTTGCCAAAGATACTTTGTACAGCCCTCTAAACTGAAGGATAAACAACCAGTTCAATTTATTTGACAATTTTGAAACTAGTATGGTGGCAGATGGGTTTGTTTTGTCCTTGGCAAGTTCCATTCCATATAAGTCAAACTTTTCCATCCATATTAAATTTAGGGCTATAATACAGAGGTACAGTAATGTTGGAAATGTATTTAAGACTGAGAGCATGACAGTTGTTTTTGAGAATGGAATGGGCTGGAGAAGTCTACTGGAGATGAGATCCCAGATCTATAGGCTTAGCTATTGGTTTAAAGTTCTTTCAAGGGAGGAAAAAGGGACTCCCCGTGTTAATGCTTTCAGGAGCAGTTTCTGTCAGTCTGTACAAAAAAAAAAGTTATTTGGACACCAGATTCCTCTGTTGCCAATGCAGGATGCTGTAGAAACATGCTGTTATTTATGTGGCTGATTCCTGGCTGTCTCAGCAGTGCACCTGTGAGTCTCTAATCCCCTCTTTCTTCCCTTTATTCTCCAAAGGGGACGCTACAGAAGTTTGTGGATGATGTGTTCCAGGCTGTCCTGAGTGTGAACCGCCCAGTACCAATTGCTGTCAAGTATCTGTTTGACCTGCTGGATGAGCTAGCAGCGCGGCACGGGGTCACTGAGCCAGAGACGCTGCACATCTGGAAAACAAACAGGTGGGGTGGACACGGGGTTGCTGAGGCAGCATTGGCTGGGAATGGATGGTGGCCGTAGGAGCTGAGACTGGGACGGTGGGTTGTGGAGACTGAACATTTTCAAGCAGAAGGGCTGAAGACAGTCAGCCATTTGCTAACTTGGTTTCTGCCTTCCCCCCTCCTCCCTAGTTTGTTGCTGCGCTTCTGGGTGAACACACTCAAGAACCCACAGTTCATTTTTGATGTGCGTGTCTCTGACAATGTGGACGCCAACTTGACTGTCATTGCTCAGACATTCATTGATGCCTGTACAACTGCTGAGCACAAAGTTGGCAGGGTAAGTTTATACATCTGCAAATGTCTAAAGGTCACACCCATATCAGACCAGGATCAAAAGAGGACAGGTAGCGCTTGCCTTGATCCTGATGAAGTCAGGCCTGCCCTGAAACGGGATACTCCAGGCATTTAACTTGAATATGGATCCCATTGCCACTGACAGAGGTAGCCAGTTGCACTGGGTAAAGGGGGGAGGGGGCTTCATTTCCCCCAGTATTTTTGGGCAGGGGGCAGTGCCACCCCAATACTGAGGGGGCCGCTGTCCCCGCAGCCATGTCACCCTCCAAGTGCCCCAGCCTCAGCCTCTGCACAGCAGCCCAGAAGCCAGGCAGTGGCTGTGACAAGCGTGGGCAATCTTTGCTTTGCTCATCCCAGCTGCAGCCTGGCAGCTCAGAAGCCGGGCGGGGCTGGGACAAGCAAGCGTGGAGATCACCCTCCACATGCTCCGCCCCTGCCCGGTGGCATCATGTGACATGTTGGGTGACATGTTGCATGACTGCGCCCCCTCAATGTGGGGGGTAAGTCGGCGCCTGCTGTTCAACTATGGATTTTAGATACCATTTTGGCAGCAGATTTGGAGACCGAGAGAGGGCCTATGTGCAAGACAGTCCACTGGGCAAGTACCCTTGGGACTCTCCTATTCATTTTAATGTGGAAGATTCCCAGGGGATTCCCATGTTAATTAGCCATTTGGCTTTCCTGCTTGAGGCACTAAAATCTCTTGTCCTACGCCTTATAATCGCCACGATTTTAACCCTCACAGTTAGCATACTGCCATAAACAGAACAGGAACAAAATGGATGGCACACACCAGAGGGACCTTAATCAGACTGTTTGTTTGAAGGGCAGCTGAATAAAACACTCCATATTGGCTCAAGGAATGGAAAAAGTGACACTTTTTGAAAAACAAATCATGAAACCAGGCTTTCATGGGAGCAAAGGTGTCTGTCTAACTAGCAGAAGCCACCTTGTCCCATCTCTACTGAGGACCATTTCTGATGTCCCAGAGGAAGTGGAGAGCAAACTTCAAGATATTGGACAAAGGGGGAGCAAATTTTTCCCCCAGCATCACAAATCACTGGTTGCAAGTATGAGCATGACTGTTCATGTCTTCTTGCATATAAAGGTATTCATTAATGCAATAGTCTTGACATAAGAGCGAAAGTTCCATTCTTAGTTCAGTGATATCTTATAATCCACCAAACGATCATCTGGATTCCAGTATGTCTGTTGTGGTTTTGGCCTGTTTCAAACATTTGCACAGAAGTACTGATTTCAAGATGCTTATTGCTGATTGTGTGAGAATGACTTTTCTCCCATCTAGGCCATTTAACAGTCAAACCTTGTTAATTACGTTGCATCACTCCACTTAACATTCTGTATTGCAAAACATATCATTTCCCGCACCTTAACATTTTATCCGTCTGAGTACATATATTATTACAATGTTCAAAATTGTCGTTACAAGCAGTTCCAAATCCAGGCATGGCAGCATACACTTAGGTTGCCAGTCAGAACTGTGGGGGCTGCACCTGGCCCCCCAGTTTTTCTGGGCTCCCCTCTACTTCCTCAACTTGAGCTATTTTCTTTGGGGATGTGCAAGGAGCTATGTAGATCATTGAAATACTGCCCTATTAAACTGGAAATCATTCTCAGCTGTTTAATGCCCTCTGATAATTCACCCAGTGTTGCCCACACAATCAGGCCTTAAGGTGTTTTAAAATGAAACCTGAGACTGCAAGGATGTTTGTGTGAAATGTAAAGGGAGCCTTGACTTATAGAGCCTTTTCGATCTAAAAGTCTTATCTCTGCCCTCATCATAGAAATGTTGGAGTTTTCCCTGTTTGTTTGTACAACAGTGAATGAGTGATGCTCTGCCATGCTTGGTCACACACACACACACACACACACACAGAGAGAGAGAGAGAGAGAGAGAGAGAGAGAGAGAGAGAGATTGAGATTTAGACACATCACCATATGTTCTAGACCTGAACTTTGGCTCAAATATATAAGCCCCAATTTATGGCCCCAAGTGCCTTTCCCACATTCTGGTCACTCTCTGGAAACATATGGGTTGAGGGTCTCAGCTTTGTTTTCCAGAATTTCTGAAAACAATTTTCAGGGGTTTTTTTGTAGATCCCTGAGAGAAGGTTTGCTGTGCCTGAAACATGTTGCATATTAAATCGTGTCTTAGATATATTGGGGCACCTTTTTCTTTCCTTTAAAAATAAAATACAGGTGCAGCTTATTTTTGTCATTTCAACGCAAAACCCAGCAATTCTAGAAGATGAGGGTGGGGGCAGGGAGAACACCCTGTAGTACTGGGGACAAGAAGGATTGTTTCTGCATGTACTGTAGGAGTTGATCTCTCTCAATCTCTCGAAACAGCCTGTCAAACTGGTCAGACCAGACTGAGACCTGCTTTTGCCACCCCTCAGGCATCCTTCCCAAGGACTGGTGGTTCTCTCAAATCATTTGTTTTCCATGACCAAGAGCTCACTTGATTATGTTTTCAAAATGTAGGCATTTCCATTTTTAATTTGGGGTTTAGTTCAGCCCCCTTACTCAGCAGCTCATCATGCCTCTCTAGTGTTTTGCCAGGAGGCCCTTTCAGAAATGCCCAGCTCTGAGGATTTGTTTGGAATTCTAGATTTGCTAAAGAAAGAGGGTTGTGAGATCAGGTGGGAGGACCCTCTTGGGGGAAGGGAAGCCATGATGTTTAGAGCAGCACAATAGGTAGGGTGGTTGGTGCTTTTCACCTTTCAGCCACGTTCAGAAATAACAAATCATTATTTATGTTTGGATGCAAAAATATCTTGGCATAGCAAGTATGCTGGGATTTAGAATTAGCACTTCTGTGTTTTCTGTTCTGCATTAATGATAATGGCTGGCTGGATCAAGCCAAGGCCCATTTCATCCGGCATCAGTTCTCAACAGCAGCCAGCCATATGCCTTTGGGAATCTCAAAAGCAGGGCACTGAGGTGGTGGCCATCCCATTTGTTCCCAGAATCTGGAATTCAGGTGGTATGTATACTGCCTCTGTTCATGAAAGTTCCATCTACCTATCAGGGCTGGCCCTGCCTTGGACACAGCCAGGTGATCACATTAGGCATCTGATTTTGGGTTTTATGAAAGGGTATATTTATTTTATTTTTTTAATTTTTTATTTTATTATTGTTGTTGTTGTTTTGTTGTTGTTGTTTTGTTGTTGTTATTGTTATTGTTATTTTACTCTTCTCCCCCTCTCCCCTCCATGTTTTTTCTTAATACCTGATAGTAATGTCCTTGAAGAGGGCTTTACTGAGGTGGTAAATCTGTCTATGCTGCAAGTAGGTTTCAGAGAAAATTGGAGATTTATGCATGCGGAAAACTGTGGCAGAGAAAAAGCTATGCTGTAACTCTTCTCTCTAATATCATCATCATCATCATATTATTATTATTATTATTATTATTATTATTATGATGCATGCAGGGGTTTTTTGTATGTAGGAGAATTTCCCCACCTGCATGTGAACTGCCATGTGCTGTCTGAAGCAATGCAACCCAGACCTCGGTTTACCAGATCTGTTAGAACTGCTTATTTTATTACACTTATATCCCACCTTTCCTCGGAGGAATTCAAGGTGGCATGCGTAGTTCTCCTCCCCACTCCAGTTTTATCCTTACAACAACCCTGTGAGGGAGGTTAGGCTGAGCCTGAGTGACTGGCGCAAGGTCACCCAGGGAGCTTCATAGCTCTGCAATGACTTTCTCTTGCCTCCTTTTCCTTTTTGCAGCAGAATATCCATGGCAGGAAGCCAACAGCCATGGCCGTGCAACACAATCTGTTTCCTCGTGGTTAGGAAACTTTTTTAAAATGCTGCTAAATAATGTGTTTGGATTTAAAGCCTGCTAGGTATCTAAATGACAAGTCAGTTAAATAGGGTTGCCATATTTTGAAGAGCGAAAAAGAGGACACATTTGCCGAGTTTAACTTTTAACTATGGATTGTTATGACGACTCTACCCATGAAAAAGAGGACATGTCCTGGAAAAAGAGGACATATGGCAACCCTGCTGTTACATTTTTCAAACTTCAGGGGCAGCACTGCTGAAGGCCTCTGGAAGTCACACCCTTTCAGTTACAAGACCTGTGTCTTGATGGATCAGAGATTATGTGGCAGGCTTTGACTCTTCACATGCTCAGAGGAACTTCCCCTCCTCTCTGTTAGCTTTGCAGAGTATTGCATTGGGAGCATGCTTTGGAATGGGCTCCTATTTAAATGCTGAATTGGTCTTAGAAATTTTACATTATCCGTCTCTTTTAAAATGCAGTCTGGACAGCCTGAAAATTAACCAGTTGCACCCCATACCCCATATAGGTGGAGACATAATCCTTGAGTCTGAATTCTGTCCCCTTTCCAAAACTTCTTCAAACCTTACATCACCTTTTGTTCTCTCTCTCTCTCTCCCTCCCTCCCTCCCTCCTCAGGATTCACCAGTCAACAAACTACTCTATGCCAGGGAAATCCCACACTACAAACAGATGGTGGAGAAGTAAGTGTGAAAAATAGAAAAAAGGTTGTTGTGGTGGAAAAATACCTAGCCCTGCAGAAAATGAGGTTGTGGGTGTGTTTGGGGAAGCCAGGAGTCCTGGGAGCTGATTGCATATATTCTACATTTGTTTAAAAAATATGCAAAAGGAAATATTAATTTTGCAACAGTTATAAATTATGCAAATAGAGCAGATTTACACGCCACCCCCCTTATTTCACATAAATCTGCTTCTGCCAGTGATATGGAAGAGTAAGGAGCTAGGCACGGCTTTGAAGCCCCATATTTAATGGGAATCTTATTCGCTTCCTCCATGGCTTTGGAGATTTCTCAGTCAGCATCAACAAACTTGTGAGCATATCTTCATAAATTCCAGATTCATAAATTTCTTTTATTTAATGAAGATATTCTAAGGGATGGAGTAGGAACCGGCAAGCCACTCCTCCAGCATCCCTGCCAAGAAAACTCCATGGACAAAGGTGTGCTCTGGTCCATGGGGTCACGAAGAGTCGGACAAGACTAAACGACTAAACAACAACAATTCTAAGGGAACTGAATCCTGCATGTTTTCTGCACAGATGCAAAATCACACCTTCCGGACCACATTCATCTAACCAACATTGCTCAAAGATTTCACATCCAAAAATGCATTGAAAGGGTGAAAAGGCCCACCATTTTTGTTACCTAGTATGAACGAGAGAAATGCTTAGTGGTCTTCTCCCAGTATTGCTTGCTTGCTTAATTAAAGCAATGACATCTTTCAGCATACTACAGAATGAGAAGAGGGTGTTGTAGACAGTGTTGGATGTTATGAATGTTGCTGGCTTGAGAATGTCATTTTTAGGGCAGGCAAAGGAGACTCGCATTGCAGTGTGGCCCCTCCCCACTAACCTTTCTCTTCTCTCCCCCCACCCTCCTCCACGGTTAGGTATTATGCTGATATTCGACAGACTGTTCCTGCCAGCTACCAAGAGATGAACTCAGCCCTGACTGAACTCTCGGGGGTAAGGGAATCCTGCCATGATTCCAGAACCAAAAATAGTATTTAAAAACTGCACTCTCTCCGCCTCACTAATTTTAAAACTCTCCCATGCTGACTTAATCTGCTGCTTTCAAACAAGGAAAGGTTGCGTGGCAGAGCAAATAAATGCCTCAAAATCAGTTGACATATTCAGTGGATTTTCATGATGATGACGATGACTACTGTCGTCATCATCATGAAAATCCACTGAATATGTCAACTGATTGGACTTCAGTACAGTGGTACTTCAGGTTACAGACTCTGCTAACCCAGAAATAGTACCTCGGGTTAAGAACTTTGCTTCAGGATGAGAACAGAAATCGTGCTCCGGCGGCACGGCAGCAGCGGGAAGCCCCATTAGCTAAAGTGGTGCTTCAGGTTAAGAACAGTTTCAGGTTAAGAACGGACCTCTGGAACGAATTAAGTTCTTAACCTGAGGTACCCCTGTACTGTATGTGGGTGGGTGGAGGGGAGTGGTTGCTGCACAGTCCCTTGATTTTGAGGCATTTATTTGAGGCAGTAGTAGTAGTACTATTACATTTATATGCAGTCCATCTGACTGGGTTGCCCCAGCTACTCTGAGCAACATCCAGCAAAATATAAAAACACAATAAAGCAACAATCATAAAAAACTTCCCTATATAGTGCTGTCTTCAAATGTCTTCTAAAAGTTATACAATTGTGCCGTTCCAAGTTATGCTGAGGATATGTTGCAAGAGATCTTGGAAAGTCTTTAAATCACAGGTTGAACAAGGGCTGCTTGCTGCAGTTGGCCCAAACTTGGATTGTTTAACTCCCCATTTATGAGGGGGTTACATTCCAAGGCACCATGCACACACAGTATGTGAAATCCTGTATATTTGAAACACCATTGGGAAGAAGTCCCAGCAAAAGAAGAATGCACCATTGGGAAGAAGTCCCAGCAAAAGAAGAATGGATACAAAAACTTATGGAATATGCAGAAATGATGAAACTTACTGGAAAAATAAGAAATCAAGATAACAATTTTTTAAATAAAAGAATGGAAATGGTTTATTGAGTATTTACAAATAAACTGTAAACAGATAAGAACACTGGCAGGATCATTGTAATAACCTGCAGTTTTATAAGCGGATGCTCACATATTGAACATGTGTCAATGGGGCGTTGCTTGTATTTACCAGGGTATTTACACTTCATCATATACCAGTCCTCTAAAACTGGGGCAGGGCACCTCTCTGTGCACAGGCATGCATTGTGCTCCCTTGTTGGGATCCCATCAACAAGGTCTGCAATCACAATGTCCCTCCATCAATTATTGCTCCCTTTCTGAAGTTGTCTGAATTGTTGTTTTAGGATTGTTATAAGGAAGGGTGAGAAGGGGTATCAATGAGTATGATATAAACATAGCATAATGTATAGAAATATGCAAAAATACAAGGACCGTAGTTCAGTGGCAGAGAGTGTGCTTTGCATGCAAAACGTCCCACATTCAGTTCCTGGCATCTCCTGGTAGGTCTGGTTGAGCCCTCCTCGTCTAAACCCTGGAGAGACTCTGCCTGTCAGTACTGAGCTACATAGACCAATGGCCTGACTAGATAAGGCAGCTTCCTATGTCCACGTGTAGTTGTAATGAAAATGTAATTAAAACATCTAACGTTTCATTTTCCACCCTCCTGTTTCGGCAGAAATATTCCTCTGACCTCAACTGCCTGGTGGCCCTGCAAGAACTTTACAATTATATTAACAAGTACTATGATCAGGTATGATAAATCCCTTGAGATTTTGTACTTGCAGGATGTTGGTGGGGGTGGGACGGAGGGACATAAACAGACCAATTTCTGCGGGAGAGGGTGGGGTGGGAGTGCACCCATCTATTCTAATCCATTCCCTGCAGAGAGGTTGGTTGCTGGGAAGGGAAGGCCTATAGGACTGGGATGGGAAGCATGTGGCCCTCCAGATATTGTTGGACTCCAACTCCCACCAGGCCCAGCCCGTATGGGATTA